TTTTAGCAGACGGGCTAATTATGGGCTTCTAGCCTAACGCTAGAAGCAAAGGTAATATTGGTATCTAATAAAGAAGATAGTTGTGACAGCTGTGGCAGGGAAAATGCAGAATCAAGATAGTACAATTAGTTGTTGTTGGGTGATTTTTAAATTTAGTCTTTTAATCTTAATCACTGTCACATTTCTTACGTGTACTGAGGTTGCATGTTAGTGATCTGTGCTATCTTTAAGAGGCTTTACTAGAAAAAGAAAAAATCTTGTCTCCCAGTGCAGCGAAAGAATATTGCAATAAGAAGAAATGCCTGAATCGCAAAGAGGAACACAGTTGAACCTTTAAATGCAGAATACTAACTTGCACTTTTATTACCTCATGGCTTGGATGCAGCACTTGGCATTCTGTCCTGTCACTTAATTTGACATTCGGTCCTGTCACTTAGGGTGTCAGGCTACAGCCCTGTGGGTTTTTGTGCGTAAAGCAGAGCAAAACTTCTTTGGGGACGTGTGTAGAGACCGATGTGTCTCCGTTTGTGACCCCAAACTAACCGTTTTGGAGTCTGTTTTAAAGAAAAGCTCTTCTTGCTGTGGGTCTGAAGCAGACACGCAGTCATCGGGATGGCATTTGCGTAGCTCTTGTCGGTAGCGAGAGCTGTGCCCTGTCCTATCTCACGGGGGCTGTGAGCAGTCGGAAAGGCAAGTGCTGCTCTCCCTTCTGGCATTTTAACGGCGTGAGGAATGCGGTGGGTGTCGGTGGGGAATAATCCAAGTGGCGCGGCACCGTGTCAGGACGCGGTGCAGAGGCTGCTTGTGCAAGTCGTCAGACGCTTGTGTGTTACGAAACGTAGCGGATTGTAACATCAGTAAATATTTCTGTGGTATTTCTAGTAAATAGTGGTTTTGTTAAGCTTTATTTAAATAGACTTAATGAATTGGAGGCTCTTATTCGTCTGACAGAAATCAAAGCCGTTGTAGGAATGTGTCACTAAAAGCATTTTAAGGCCTCGTTTTGGAAGTGGTGATGTTGAATTTCAGAATTGCAGGCAGTTCTTAGGAATGTTGCATGCAGGAAAGCTTGCCGCGTAGTTTTGTGTTTTCCAGTTCAGATTCCTGGCAGTCTGCCTGGTAGTGCTGCTTTTGCTCGGCGTTTGCTGCAGCCTTGGGCACTGTAAGCAGGCTCACACCTGATGAGCTGTCAGGAATTTTCCCTGTGCTTTTTGAAATGGCTAAAATCGAGTAGGTATTTGGTAGAACGGGTAAAGAGAAATCTGGACTTTTCTTGCCAAAGAGGTTTGTCATGACCACGTGTGATATTGGCCCTGCAGGAGAGTTGCTCTGGGTGCTTGGGTCACGATATTTCAATGTGTGTTGCGACCAGACATTAGAGGATTTGCAGGAGAAAGCGTCTTATAAGGAAACAGACTTGTAAGAGGCTCCGTTCAAAAAAAGCTACACAGAATGAACTCTGCATGGTTTGATTTTTACGTTTCGTGTTTATGTGTTGAAACTCAGTTACACAATGGTTAGTGCATCCAGGAGCGAGTTTGTCTGGACTTGATCTAAAAATTTCCTGGTGCTCCCTGGCTGTTTGGATTAAGGAATAGAGGATGTCCAGATAGGATGCATACACGTGGTAACGTCACCATCCCTCTGTGAGCTGTGCCAGTGCTAGCTTGACGTGTCTTTTAGCAGACTGTTACTGTTCTTCTGGTGTGTGTAAAGTACTGCCACCTCATCACTAAAATAATCTCAGCTTTTTAAATAAGGCCTCAAAAGCACACACAGTTTGCCTGTTTTGATATAGATAATAATCTTCAGCTTAAGCTTCATCAGCAAAGTCTAGAAATGTACTTTTGGAATGACAGCTTATATAACAATTTTAGTAATTAATTCTAGGACATGGGGCTTTTAGGAATGTCAAGTATCGCGACGTGGGAATAAACTGCAGGAACTGGCAGTGCCGGCACATGTCGCCGATTTCGATCCTCATGCAGCTTACACTGGTTAGTGCTTGAAGGCATTGCCAAACCTCCCGCGACCACCTCAGCATCACCATCAGCCTTCGGCCTCAGCGGTTGCCGAGGGTTGATGGAGAATAATGACAAACTGACCCAGCACTGACTCAAGGCTGTAGTAGTGTGTGCCCGTCAGGCTGGCCAGGTGACACTGTTACTGTGACTGGGGTGCGATCGTCTGTCACCGAAATATCGTTTTGGGGGTGTCTGATTTTTTGGATTTTGAAGTTAGTCCATGTTATTTGGATTGTTGGGGTGGCTGCCTACCAGTGCTCAGTGGGCATTGGCATGTTTGTTACTGGGCAGGGTGGTGGAAGGTGCAGATGTGGTAACTGGATTCTTTCTCCTGTTGATCACAAAAAAAAATAAAAATTGAAGATGTTGTGAAGTAGCAGACAGTCTGTGCTTCCTTCAGGATTCTTTGCCTGGGGATTCGGATGTGGTAACTGGATTCTTTCTCCTGTTGATAGAAGTGTTTAAAATATAAAAGGGTATAAAGTGGCTGTTATACTTCAACAAGATATCTTTCCTAAATTAATTTCATAACAAAAAAATAAAAATTGAAGGTGTTGTGAAGTAGCAGACAATCTGTGCTTCCTTCACGATTCTTTGCCTGGGGATTCTTGGGTGTTTGCTAATAGGTGATCGTGTGCCAAAGCTGTAGAATAATTTCAGAGGTCAGGTCGTGATAAATTGTCTGACTTTTCTATCTGTGTTTACGTATATATCTACAAAAAACTCAAACCCAAAACAGCCCCAAGAAGTCAGTTTGCATTTGGTCGGAATCGTGTCACAGACGGCCTTGGCAGTGCCTTATTGGTGGCGTGAATGCGATTGCACGGACATAAAATCCACGCTTGGCACTCTTGTTATGGGTACAGCATGTATTGACAGAGCAGCACTTTTTGCTTCCCTATGTTTTGGTTCCACCCAAAAGTGAAAAATGTTGCAACAGGAGCACAGCTCTGCTGGTCACGTCCCGTATTGCGTTCCTCTGGTGTGTGTTTCACTGTTTTTCAAGATGTTCTCTGAATTCTCAGGGTTCCTTTCCCATCGCTGAAGTAGCTTTTCTCTGTCAGCAGCAGCTCCATTCATTAAAATATTTTTTTCACCAGCAAGTTTTTCACTCTTGTGGAACAAGAACTAAAAATGGACAGGCATAATAACTCTTGTCTAACTAGTTCTTTAACTGACCTGGGATGAATACACGGGCAGGCCTTCAGCACAATGAAACATTTTAATGCTGGAGTGGAACAGGAATGTCTTAATTTAACGGCAGACCAGAAACATGCATCTGAAAACGTATAAATTGTTGCCCTGTATTATTTTCATCTGACCTTGGCCTTTTAGGACTTAGGAGTCCTTGATGAATGGGGTAACTGTTGTATAACTGAAATCTGTGGTTGAATTTGTACTCTGGAGCTTCTCTGCTTTAGACCACTGTTGAAATGAATAATCTTTTATCTGTAGAGGCTTACTAAGCAGGGTTAATATCTTTGTAGAGAAATGTCTTGCTCTGATAATCCATTTCTCCCGAAAGCTTTATAATCTCGGTGTTGAAAACGCCAGACTTGCTGGCTGAGATAAGAATGCTTCCTTCAATCCGGGATTAACCAGCAACCCTGTGCTTAGCCTGCTCCTCTGGAGGTAGACAGCTCAGTTTATTGGGTTTGGGTTTGGTGGTGTTTTTTCTGATTGTTTGTTTTGTTGGCTTTTTTTCATGTTTGTTTGCTCTAGTTTTGTTGTCGTGGGAATCTTAGTCCTGAAAGGGAGCGAGTGCCGTGTTAAGAGATTTACCACTTTGCTTTCTGATCCATTTTGGAGTCGTGATAAGCGAATCCAGTGAAGGATAGAACTGAGTCTCAATTTCCAGCCTCACAGCTTCTTCTCAGGTGCTGACTCTTAAGAGTGAGTGAGGAGATTTTAGCTACAGAAAGGGAGGGAGAGAGTTTTCTCATTTCTGTGATCTGGGCTTCTTACTCTTGTGTTTTGAGCTGCTTCTCACTGGTGAATTAGAAGTATTCTGTTTACTCCTTGATTAAAGCTGGCTTTAAGAACACTGGTTTCCTCAATTCAGCATTACATTGATCTCTTCTTAAGCATATATCTAAAATAGAACCTGTGTGTTTGAAGGAATTTCTAAACATAGGAGGTTTTATATTGGAACCAATAATTATATCAACGACCATGACATGTTCTTGATGGTGTGTTCTTCTAATTGCAGCTGAGGAATGCATTCAGTGGGAACAGTACTGATAGGAAGCATGGTGCAGAAGTCAGAGATTCCCAGGGACTCTAGAAGACAGAGTGCATTTCTCCTCCTCCTCCCAATGTTGCTTTAGAAAGTGTGTGAAATTTATCTTTAATTCAGTTTTAATAGAGTATCCTGAATGATAACTGCCTAAGTTCAATTAGTTACAGAGACGACGAGCTGAAGAGAAACTTTGTGCTCTGTACCCTCTTCCAACACTGTCTTAAAACATAATTGGAAAAAAAAAATAAGACTTTTATAGCAAAAACCTTTTAATAGACCTGTTTCTTATATCCAGTAGTTTATTTTTAAAATTAGTTAAAAGGGAAGATGTAATAAACTAATCTCTGTACTATGAATGAGTGACTTTCCCTCAATACTGCTGATGAAGTGAAATACTAGTGAGTGTGTTACGCTACGTATTTCACCGAGGGTCCTCGGCACCACTTCGTAGCTGGCTTTTGATATGCAGCGTCTTTGACCTAGCTTGGATAGTGGAAGTGGTCTAGGAGGGGAGGTAAGTGGAAATACTTTGTAGCCTTTGGTTTAAAAACTAGAAATAAAAATTTGCAAGTTTCTTAGTGTGCAGTTGATCTTTGTGCCTTAGGTCTGTCTCTTAGGTCTGTATCAAATAAGTGGAGGTAAACTTCAGGTTAACTGAGGTAGCTTGGTCCAGAATGGCTCATTCCTTAGCTAAAATGAGGTTTTGTGTTGGTGTGTTTTTGTTGTTTTTTCTTCAGGAGTTGTAGAAGGTGATTTAGCTGCTGTTGAAGCTTACAAGTCCTCAGGAGGAGATATCGCCCGCCAGCTCACTGCGGATGAAGTGCGCCTGCTAAACCGCCCGTCTGCGTTCGACGTCGGGTACACGCTCGTGCACCTGGCCATCCGCTTCCAGAGACAGGACATGCTCGCGATTTTGCTCACGGAGGTGAGTTCATTTGGCCCTTGCGTAGCTGGAATAGAAACCTTACGTAACTGCACCGCTGTTTGCGGCCAGCCACGAGTAACTGCGCTTGCTGCGAGACAGAGGCTGATATCAGAACACGTGAATCGCTGCTTTGTGCTGTCGGAGTTTCTCGTTAAGAAGTGAGTTTCCTTCAAACCGTATGTGTGGTGATCCTGAGGATGTTCAGTTTTCTCGTTAATGAGCAGCCTTGGGAGGGTTCTGACCTCACCGGGGGTGGAAGTGAGCTATTGTGAGGCTTCCTGTGCTGTGGGTGGGGGAGAGGAAATGCCCCGAAAGCAAAACACCGAGATCAATGACAGCGTAGTGTTTTGTTGTTTGGTTTTTTCTTTCTCCTGGATTTTGTTAATGAGTAAGTCTACCTGGTCTTTCTGCCCAGATTTTAGTGGGAGTTCTCTTCCAGAGAAAGGCGAACTTTTTGCTTTGCGAAATTGCTGTGGTTTTTTTTCCCCACTCTTTGCCCATTTTATAGATTGTTTCATTCCTCTCCTTGCTCTTGCATGTTCCATTTCCTCTTATTTTTGTACTGTTCACCTCACCTCTGGTGATCTTTGCCCTCCTCCATTTTTGCTCTCCTACTAGGCCCCTGAGTAATTGTGTTCCCTTTTTTTTGTCTGTTTTCTTCATCGTAGACTTTTGATTCCACACCTGATCAGAGCCAAAGTTTTATTCTGCCTCCTTCCCTTTTTTGATGCTTAATGCAATTCTGAAAGCATGTGTTCCTTAGAAATGTAGCGTGCCTGAGAAGCACATAAAGACGATGAAATGTCTAGGGTTGAGTAGTTAAAATAAGTAGAAGAAGAAAGACAAACGTAGCTGAAGCTTTGACAAGAGCATATATTTATGTATGGCTGGCATCACTTTTTCCTGCTTAGCTAGCTAGCTCGGTGGATAGAGCTATAGGTTTAAAAGCAAGTTAATTTGCTGAAACACCATCTTATAATTTTTTCTGCTTGGTTTTGTTTCAGTTTTTGGGAGTATTTACTCAATATACCATTTGTGAAAATGATTCCTAGTGTTTGAGCCACAGCGATGCTTCCTTTCACTAGGATATTGACTGGTGAAAATGCGTGTCTGAAAGTTTTGTTTTGGGTTTTTTTATATCCAGCATCATCCCTGTGTTTCTTGCTCTGTATCATTGAGTGAGTTCCTGCTGCCAGTGGTGATTAGAATCTGGAGAAATTTAAGTATTTTAGCTTAATGGGGATTGGGAAGATTCTTCATAGGAAACTGTCTTGTGCTGTGGGAATGAAGTTCTTTGTTAAATGTAGACTGGGCTCCCATAAGATTGAGTTATGTCTCCTACTGTTACGTAGCTTTTACCTATTCGAGTTTTTCTTCTGAAAGTGATCACCTGCTAATTCTTTTATTTCAAGAGGTTTTCAACCAGCTTTGTGTTATCAGCTACGTGATAAAGTGAGACATCAATTCATCGAGAGTCACGAAATATTTAATCTTCCAGGGTACCAGTGCTTATACTTTGGTTGCATTCCTTGCCCCCAAAATGCTATCTGCTGGTGGGTATCACTGCTAAATCTTTGTATTTAACTAGAGGCACCGAGTGCAGTGACTGTGCTGTGTTACAGGTA